TGCTACAGGTTAGTAATCCTCTGCTCTCAATATGGAATGTAACATACAAATGTCACTGCCCAGTTTTAAAAGCTAATTGATGTTTAAATCTTTTGAGCCATTGTACTACATTACTGACAGTTCTCCGGTCTACTTCCTGCAACCTGAACACAGGCGCACTGCCATGCCCCCAGAGCTGCTGGGGGCTCTCCTTTCTCCAGCTCTACTTTTCCCAGCTGTTTTCAGCTGGTAGGAATTCACTTACTAACGCTACCAGCTTGGTCCTGTAACTGCTACTTCCATGTCTCCAAACACAGCAATGAGTATCAGGAGGGGAAGTCTGTGGCCTGTTGTGTTTGCAGTTCCTGTCCTTCTCTTTCTGCTAGCAAAACTGTATTTTGAAAAAATCGTATACAAGAGCTGTTAAGTTTCTTCTGTCTTGTCTTCTGTGGTGCTTCACACTGAGGTATTGCTGTCCTTCCCTCTTTTTTTGCCCAAATATATCTGCAGGATTTGGATTCAGGCTGTGTTTTTTGCTTTATCTTCCACCTTTACCAGATGAATCTTTACTCTTTAATACTAATTTCTCCCATCCCCATCTGGGAAACTAAGGTAAACTTTATAGCGCCAGTATTGCAGATCAGAATATTCACACCAGGATTTTGCAGGTGTGGATTTTTTCTGCTTTGTTGGTTTTTTTTTAATGGAAAATGCTGAGTGCTGAGCTGGCTATAAGGAGCTACTACCTTTCCCTGTTTAATAAGTATGACTGAGATGTAAAAATCCAAGTCACCTGATTTTTATCTGTAAAGGAAGGAATTAAAATTGACTGTCATTGGCTTTACTGCTGCTTTTCACAGGCTTTTAAAGGAAGAACAAGCAGCATTCCAACAATCAAAAAATTCTTGCAGCCTGGCAGCCAGAGGAAGCCACCAACAGATGAGAAGTTTGTTGCCGTTGTGAGGAAAATATTCAATATCTAATCACGTGGCTGCTGAAGATAACACAACTGTAGTGCATTACCAGAGCTGTGCCTTGTAAGTGTAAACTGCATAGATGTGTTCTGTAGCTTGCATCATGTAGCCAGTCACAAGATAATGATTGAAACAGAATACTTTTAGATTACAGTAAAAGGCTAATTTGGACTTGTTGAGTGCAGGAAGTGGTATTTCATGGAGCAATTATATGAAATAAAATATGCTGATACATTGGGGTTTTTAAGTACAGGATGTGCCTGGTAGGGTAAAATGTTTCAGCTGTAGCTTCCAGAGTACTGTAGAAAGCAAGCCCTCTTCCCCTTCCTCTCCCCATTTTAATAAACTGCAGGATGAAAATCCAATCCATAAAAACAGGGAAGTCATTTATATTCGGGCCTAGAATCTTGCAGTTTTGCTCTCTAGGTGCTCTCCTAGATTGAAGTTCACTGTCCCCCTGCTGTATTTCACTGCTGTCTCTGTACTTTCAGAGCTACAGTTTAATAAATAAATAAAAAATTTTAAAAAACCCAACTCATGATCCTTGTAAGTTTATGGGCAAAAGTAAGAAACTTCTTTAATCCCCCCATGAATCTCTCAGATTTTATTCACTGAAAGATCAAACTGCATGTGTTTAATTCACTTGATGTGGTTTTCATCCATTGAAACCACCTATTCCCTTGCTCCTCTTTTTGCTGCTTGGCTGGAGGTCAGAGTGAGGAAAATGCTACTTGACTCTTTTTTTTGTAAGGTTTTTGCCTTCTTCAGTCACTTCCCAAGTAGTTGTACAGAGAACTGCCTTGCCTGCTTACCTTTTCAGTGAAAGAGTTAGTTTTATCTCAGCAGTGCTTAAAGCATTCATAACGCTGTCAGATTCCTTACTCTGATTTCATGGGAACCATCACCATCTCCTTTAAGAACGGTGCCATAAACCATTCTTCCTTGCAGCTAGTTGTTTTTCTCAGTAGGACTCAGACTGAGTAGGCAGAGAAAACAGTCGACCAGTGCATATACAGAATTGCTGCCCAGAGAAGTTAATGCCTTTCCCAACATGGTTGGAAGAAGAGCCACGTAGGTATCATCTCAGAGGTACAAACCTGGAACGCCCCAATCGCCTAAGCGCTGCCCAGATGAGTTCCTAAGAGTTTTACATGAAAATTACCTAGGTAGCTGGAAGCAGGAGTTTGCAACACCCACCCTCATACACCTCTGTTCCAAACACATGCTGTGATCACTGAACCATCACAAGAGACTGGCCCAGGGCATCACCTTTGCATTTGGCGAGCCCTCAATCCCATGGGGATATGTTGGACTTGCTGAGAATGCAACTCGTTTGGGCTGCTCAGGAATTTAAGCAAAACCTTCTGGATTACAGTTGGGCTTGGAGGCACGCCCCAGCCCCCTGCCCCCCTGGGCTAATTCAGTGAACATGTAGAAGGCTCAACTCTGGACATGCTCAAAAATACAAATTCTTACTGCATTTGGGATCTGGGCTGGCAGCAACTGCAGGATGGCTTCTGCATTTCAGCACTAGGTTGCCTGAATTTTTCACTGGAGTTTAATCTAAAGCAGGATCCACCTTGTCTACAGTACAAATACCAAATTGGCATTGCTCACCCAAGCCTGTTACAGTATGTTGCAGTTTGGTTCCTTTAACCTACCTGGAAGTTCTACTTCAGGGTAAAATGAACCACATCTTGTGTGTGTTCAGCTGTCATTTTAGGTACCAAATCCATAACACATCAGCTCAGTCCCCTGTAAGCCTGGTAATACCTGGAGATGACTGATACCAGTTGTTAGCAAAGGATTCCAGACCTGGGGGCTGTGGTTGGGGGGAATTGTCTTTTTTTTTTGTCAATTGTGCTTTAGACATCCTAGTTGCTTACAACACCTTGTCACCACCCAAGACCCTGCCAAGAATAATAAGCTTGGTATTCTGCTGATGGGATTTGCAGAGCAAATAGCCTTTGTTAGCAAGCTCTATGCAAAAAAAAAAAAAAAAAAAAGCAAAATTTCTTTTTGTCTTCAATAGTGCACTTGCCCATATTCAGTTTCCTAATGATGCAGCTGCATGTTCCTGCGCACCAGAAGATAGCCTTCGCCAAGCTTTCACATCCAGGGAATATTTAATTATTTTCTACGCAAACCAAAGCAACTTCAATCCCTGAATAGTTTATGTCTGAATAGTCTCCGCTCATGGGGAGAACTTCAGCAAGACAATCTGTGCAAGACCACAGCGGCAAACCTGTTAAAAGAGTATTGAGACTGAAAGTTTAGAACCTATTTGTGCAAGATGGTGAACCTTCCTCAGCTGTGGTTCACGTCAGTGGGAATTTACAGCATGGTACGTTTTAAACCAGTACTGAGTGCAAAGCAGATCACCAGACTCTTGCATTGACAAAGTGGCTCGCTACTCTGCATAAAAAAAAACAAAGAAGCTTTGAACATTAGACGTTTTATTTGAACATTGATAACAGTTTTTACATTTCGAACGAGTGGAACAAGAGCTTGTGTTTGCAAGGATGGTGGGTTTTCTAGTGCAACACAGTACAGGCCTGAGCCTTTACTGATTAGTGATTGAAATATGATTGGAATGGATTAATCTCAGAAGCTACAAAATTACGGTTCGATACAATATGCCTTTTTAGCAGAAATGTGTATTTATATATATTATTCTTTCTGAGCAACAGTGCAAGACTAACTCAATTTCTTGAGGCGCTCAGCACCCCTGAGAGATCAAACTTAGAGAGAAAAATCTCTTAACAGACTACTTAAACGGAAGTAGATCAAAATACATCATCAACCAAACACTTGGTTTAGTTAAAAAAAAAAGCTTGCAAAATATCAGCAAATGTCAATAATCAAATAACAGGTACCGAAAAGATAAGTGCAATGTAAGACTTCTGTTCAAACTTGTCTTTCAAGTATGGAGAGCTCGCTGGTTTGTTCGGTGGGCATGGCAGTCATACTTCGGTTCTGGAGCTGCTAAATTCTCCTACAGCAGCATAAAAACAAGCCTCAAAATCATCAAAAGGCTGCAAAAAAAAAAAAAACCAAAACAAAACCATAAATATGGTTGTGCATGAACAAAACCAGTGAAAGTCACCATTAAAATACAGCTTATTCATAAATACCTGACACCTGAGCCTCTAGTAAGCAATCTTTTAAAATGTCTAAATCTGTAGCCTCAGTGTCTGTTGAAACACACCTAGGCTTGAAAAGCAATCCACAATGGAAAATAAAATTTTCCAGTTTAAGTCTTGTTCCTTAAATTTTGCATCTCAACCATTTGCATCTGATTTTTTCCTCCCTGTATGTAATTGGACTAAAACAGTTAATGGCATTACATTAAATCTGGTAACGAAGCAACAGTTCTTACTCCTTCAGAAGATGGAGATTCTGACTTACAGTGGAAAAATGTTTTTTTAGTTGACAGACTCACTGGGGAAAAAAAGTTCTGACTTAGTCCATACTTTAATTCCAAAATAATAAGTATGGAAAATTGTTTTCCAGAATGCCAATATAAACAGCAGCAATAAAGCAGTCAGAATGGTTAGAAACATCGTACTTTGTAGTAATACTGACCAAAGTTCTTAGGTCATGTCAAGAATGCCCTAATTTTCAAAGGTGCTGTGTTTCAAGTAGTTTTGAATGCAGCGCTTCCAAACCAAAGTGTTGGTCCTTATTAAGATGACTGTGGTATGAAATCAGATGACTAATTTTATGTATATGTGTTTGAAAACACTGAGGCTTACCTCAGGTTCTTCCAAGAGCCTTATCAATATGCATTAATATTTAACTGCAGATCTCTCCTTTCTGTGCTGAGAAATTCAGTCCGTTTCAGATGTATCCGCCTAATGAGATGGAAAAGCTGTTCACTGGAAACAGGACTGTGACCTCCAAACTAATTTCATTTAAACCATACAGTTGCTGCATGACAGGAACTTCCACTGATACTGGCTTGAATCAGATGTCAAATGGCAACTATTTGAAAGTCAGTGAAATCTTTACATTAAGATCCTCAATATATGTTTACCTCAGGCATGCTACTAGTCCGGCTGGCATTAATTTCTTGGACCTCTTGAACCTCATTCCCATTATAATGGTCAAAAGAAAAGCTGAAACTGTAAAAGACAATTCAATACATTTATGTTCTCACTTCTCCCAGTGGACCATTCAGGAACATGGATAGTTATCAAAAGGTCAGTGCTATGTTTTGCTATGAACTGTAATTTAATAAAACATTAGATCACAGATAGAGTCTATAAAAACATTCTTGCTTTTCTAAAATACACTGAAATACAGCTATGATTTCTTTCAGCTACAAACAAGGTTTTCATGTGCAGCAGAATCCTAAATCCTATTCCACAGATGCTAAGTAAGTTTGTCAGACGGTGAATTCTACTCCCCCATATCTACATTCATGGGGATACAAATAAAGTAGGAAGAATCTCGATCATAACAGTAACATGTATGCCGAATTACAGGAATAGTGTCTCATAAATCCCGATCAGTGCAGCTGTCTTCTAACTATTCAAGGAGCTAGAGCACCCAACTTTATCTGTTTTCTTTTTACAACACTAGCTCTCTATTTGCTGAGCCTTAAAAATTAGATCAGGTTTGCCTCTTGTTTTCGCTACAGAATACAGCTATCAACATCTTCATCATGACCACAAGTTTCCTTTTGCTATGAGGGAACCATCCTTGTCTGTGACAAGAGGTGGGCCGCCCAAGAGGGCAAAAAATGCAGAGCAAGCAGCAGAGAACGAACATCATGAGAGGAATCACGTCTTCTTCCCGGAGCAGTTTTTACCTAAAAATGGGAGGTAGCAATGAACTGATCGGGCACGGGGATTTCAGATTGAACTATGGCTGCAGAGCACTACATAAATGAGAAGATTGATAAAAATGCATAAAACTCTGCAAAGACAGCTAGCTTTGTTAAAGAACTGCTACCTGAAATGCTTCTTAGAAGTGGGCAGAGAGGCAGGACTTCTCATGGGCAGCTGGGCTTTTATCACTCTTGCAGCCAAAGTAATGGCAGTTACACAAACCTCTTCCTTTTTATGGAGCAGCTAAACCACCTGGCTAATTCTCTTCAAACTCTGCTGTGTACTCCTGTGGACAGTGCTGTGCTCACAGGTGTCAAGAATTAGTTTTAAACTCACTCCAGCATTATAAAACAAGCTCTGACAGTTAACAAGCATCTTACAAAACTACCAGCTATACATCTGCACTCATTAAGAGACGCCCTGCAAAAAAACTATTATGCTCCATTATCCATTGCTCTTGTTTTCTGGTCCCATAGCCTTGATCCTCTCAGGAATGTCTGAAGAGTGGACTATTCCACCATATGCATCTTGCCAGAGCCCTGAGTATATTTACAATTATTTACAAGCTACAAACCATGTTCTTTTTTCCGGTTATTAGTATCTGGCTTTTCACATGTGCCACTGAGTTTTTAAGACGTTCAACTTTCAGACCTGATTTTCAAAAGTGCTAGATATTCACTGTTTCTTTTTAAATCAAAGAAATTCAATTAATCAAGCTAAATTCAATTCAGTAAATCAGATTCAGAGCAGAAAGTCAATAAATTAGGTGCATCAGCCTGCACTCTGAATAGCACTAAATGTTGCATAATGAAGCCTGAATTTCTACACCTACTCCAAACACATAAAATTGAAATATTCAAGAAAGAGCAGAGTTAATTTCAGGGGGAGTGGGAAAATGCCTGAAAGAATAATTTATAAAACAACTAAGAAAATTTTCCTGGGGGATCTGTATGCTACATAGTCTTTGTATGTAGGACAAGTTAGAAGAGCCCTACTATGAAAAGTCTTGTACTAAAACATTACCTACATTATTGTAGAAGACTCTTGCATAGGTGATAGATACTATGGATAATTTTGGGTTTGGAGGGGGATTTTTGTCTTTTTTTTTTTATTTTTTTTTTTTATTTCCTAACCTTTTAAAGGTTTGGGTATTTGCTTACATTGCATTTTACTCTACTGGCTTCTAAGTTCAGAGCCATCACCTTCTTCCATGCACTTCATTTCCTTCTTTCATTTGTGCTCTAGTTGCTTTTGGCACTTTGGGGTGTTTTTTTTTTTTTTTTTTTTTTTTTTATTTCCTAACCTTTTAAAGGTTTGGGTACTTGCTTACATTGCATTTTACTCTACTGGCTTCTAAGTTCAGAGCCATCACCTTCTTCCATGCACTTCATTTCCTTCTTTCATTTGTGCTCTAGTTGCTTTTGGCACTTTGGGGTGTTAAGGCATAAGTGAAAACATTCTGATTTTCTACAGAAGCAACACACACTTATTACAGAAAGCCCTTATTATTCTGAAAGTAGCAGATACAGTAGCCACCAAAGGTTTTTAAAGTGTGGACCTGCAGATGTTTCCGAGTGTGTCTAATTCTCCTTTCCTCTGAAGTCTTCCTACTGAGTTTTTTATTCATTTGAGCTATCTACGCACATAGAAGCCAGAAGCCACCCTCTTCCAAACTGAGACACATCAGCCTGGAAGAGATTTAAATCAGCCTGAACAGTTGGCCCTGGCAGAGCACTTCATATGAATACTTCCTAACTCATTTCAGGCAAGAATTACCACAGGTAGTTCAGACCACCACCTTTGTTCCATTCAGCCCAGGTGGATCCTGAAGAGGCCACCCATTTGTTGCCAAGGTTAAAAGTAATGTTTAGGTTTTAAGCAATTCGAACATTACTTTGTAAACATTCTAAACTAAGACTGCTTTAGAAAGTCTTTGTTCCTTTTATTCCACATAATAAGAACTAAGGCAGGTGTAGTGAACTCTATCTCATCTGCATTGCTATAATTTCTATTAAATTAGTAATACACATTTCTCAAGTTGAAAGTCCTCACATGCCTACATGAAATGCACAACACTGACAATATTTTAGTATATCTGACGTTCATAAGCAGATTAGTGCAAATTTTGTATTAGTCCTTTCAAAACTAGGGAATTGGGCAACAGGCAACATTTAGTAAGTTTTAATTAAGTCTTCTCTTCCACAAATTCAGTATTCAAATTAGTGATTTAATTGACCCATAGAAGTACAACACCGTATGCTACTCAAAAATACCTCACACTGAATGATTACAAATTTACATATACTTAAGGCTATGTCTTCATTCCAAAATAAGTTTGGGGTTTTGGGTTTAACAGTGGGACAACTTAATCTGAGCAAAGTCATGGTGACAAAACTGGAATATCCAATTTTAGGCCATCTAGGAGCAGATCAGGTATGCCACTACCACCTTTACAAAAGAACTCAGTTGGCAGGAACACAAATTGCTAACCATGCTATTCAACATTTGTTTTTAAATGGAAATTTTTACAACTGTGGCTGGCGTAGAGCACAAAGCCAGCATGAACAGTTTACCATAAATTCTAAATAAGTTCAGAAAAAGCGATTTGTGTACTCGCACAATGTGGATTAAATGTATTTTAAATGCATTTCTGCATGTGAAACCACAGCCTAAGCCACCTTTGCTAAAACGTGAGTGAGACAAGCTCCCAATAGTTCTTATTGCAAATCAGTTGTGTGAAGTTAATGTCCCCCTTAGAGACTGCAATTCCTTGCTTCCATGAGAGTTTCACGGCAAACAAGCTAACGTGACAATTACTGCATGGTTTGTATGCCGTCTTCCTTAGCAGCAAAGGAAAAAGACTAGGTCAAACTATTTGCTTCACTGGGGGCCGAGGATACGTTACATTAGGCAAGACTAGATCCCACACCTACTTTACTTCTCAAATTACATTCTAATCCGTAGTGCTAATGATTTTATTCCCGTACTCTCCCATGTTTCTCAGCTGGATTTCGTAATATTTGCAATGTTAGGTAACCATCTAATAAAAGGAGGTGCTGCCAGGTGGTAACACATGCCTGCTGGCTTTGCGTGAATCACCTGCCTTACCTTGCAAATGGTTCCCGAGTTAAGCTATTGAATTTTGCAAGCTGAATCAAAGCGTCGAACTCTTATTTAAAAACTAACATTTAAACTAAAGCAATACTCAAAATCTAACAAAAGAGAGATTTTTACATGCAGTTCAGGAAACTGCTTTTGGGGGGTTGTTTGTTTATTTGTTTACTGCAATAATACACTTACACAACGATATCTTCACATTTCTCGGATCACAGCTTACGCAGTAAGCTCCATAACCAGCCACAGAACCAAAGGTGAGACCAGCAACTAAAGAGATTTTACTACCTGCAAGAAACCATTCAAGTGTTATTTCTCAGTGTCATTACGCTCAATCTTTACACAGTAGTTCTGTCTCTGCACAGTATTATCCAAATATTTTAAAAATGGAACCGATTTTGCCACAGTGCAGTGAGCTCACCCAGTGTGAACAAAGAGGTAATACTTCCGTAACTCCGTCATTCCTTTGCATGGCTTTAGGGGCAAAGCTGACTAAATGAGAGGGAGGTGATCAGGATCTAGTAATACTTGCAATTTGGGAAAAATAATCTTCAAATCGCCAACCTAAATTTGGCTATTTTCTCTACCATACCTACCTTTAGAAGCATTTTTGTAATTTCTCTGGACTGTCTACTGATTTTAACTATATCTTACAGCACTTGGGAGTCTCAAAAAATGGTAGAAATGTGTAAATATATGTGAAGGGTAAATTGGACAACACATGTGAGTCACAAGCCTTTCAGTCTGACATCAGTCCTGGACAAAGAAATGGGATCACCAACATCACATTTAATTAATAAAAAATTAAAAACCAATTAGATGGCAATGAGGGGAAAATACGGCTCTTAAAAGTAACTCAGCATCTTCTTTCAGTGCTATTACAAAACTGGGTCAAAAAGCCCAGTGTTTCTGTAATATACTTAGGTTTCTGAATAGGCATTTGACTCGGTACCATATGATAAAAGCGCAGAATCAGCGCAGTAGGCATTACCTGGATTAAGCTGATCCCAAAATGTTTATAAATAAAGAATACATACCCCCAGATGTGATTTACCTCCCAGTCCTGTTATACTGAATATTTTTAATCAAGGATTTGCAATAAAAAAGAAATCATTATCAATAAAATCTAGATTTGCCACAGGACTGAGCAACTTTAAATTAGAGTGAAGAGAACAAGCGTACGGGCTAGTCAGTCAGTGCTGGGTGCAAACAAAAAAAAATACAGCAAGTGTTTTCTGAAAGCCAGACATAAAGCCATGCCTCTAACAGCAAAGCGCAGGGCAACGGTGACCCTGAACCACCAGAATCGGGATGGACCGTCCTGATGCGCTGCTGGGACATGCACTGTGAGGGAGAGCTAACGGGGACCAGCTGGAGATCCCACCTGCCTGTCCTCGGTACTGCTGCGACCTCTGCTGGGATGCTGGGCTCAGGCAGGGCGCTGCTAGCTGGGAAGGACTGCAAAAATGACTGAAATATGGAAAACGCACTTTATAGTGCACAATAACCTAAAGCCTGATTAACTTAGAGTTAATATCTGAGAGATATTAACCACCAGATCAGAATACGCAAGTAAGAGGTTTTCTTTCCAGTGCATATCTGGAAATCTCAAAATCAAGCCAGGATGCCTCCGCAGAAAATAAACTTTAATCAAAGATCATCTACTGTGCTCAGCGCAGGAATGATTAAAGGAAATGAGAAGGCCCAAAATACACTGAAGGTCAAAAACCACGACAGTCCCTTTTTGCCCTGAATACAAACTCGTCAGTTAGATTAACAGAAAAAAGTGACCACTTAAATGCTTAAGTTGACCCAAGTAAATCTCACGAGACTCAGCTCATTTATAGCAGTGCAGGATGGATTTAAGATGCGGTCGTGTTCATTACAGCAAAGTTTTTATGTTGTGCATCAATCCTTTTTTTTTTTTACAAAGTGTAGCAGAGGGGAAACAAATGTTTCATTTCCAAACCTTGCTGTCCCAGCGTTTACCTTTGTGAGTGTATCCCACAACACCTCCGATAGCCAGCAACGCAGCGTATGCAAAACCAGTCCAGTCAATAGCCATGGTCCCAACTCTGGAGAAGAAAACACACTGCAACTGAAGACAAACCAGTTCCTTCCTCCCGGTAGAAAATAAATCGTTACTTACAGTGTTCCAAATACCACTATGCCCATCCTAAGTCGTGTTTGACTACTGCGTCAAAACATTCAAAAGGTGAAGGTGTGTCTGTTGTATCGCATTTTCACTAACTGCTGCCCTTCCTTACACCTCACTATCTAGATGTATCTTATCTCCATTAGGGGAAACTGGTATTCTGGGGATGCATGTGGCATGTATTTTTCCCCGTTAAAAATACACGTACACAGGCAAAAAAGCTTTGACACTGCCCAAAGCATCAGTTTTGTTGCACTTGTGCCATATGGCTGATCTGGGCACAGCCTATGGATACATACAGGTCTTCTGAGCGCACAGCTTAGTGCCCTTTCGACCAGGCTGTACTCTGTGTATGTACTTCAAGCGGAATGTCACGGGCCCTGCAACACCAGGCAAAAATAGGAATGTTCAGAGTCTACCCAAAGTTTCCAGACAGAAACCTAGGATGGTTTTGGTAAATTATATGTACAGAAGCTTTATCCTATGTCTGTCAATGCCCCTTTTCTTTCACCTGTAGATTTTGATGCATTGTCTGAAGTTACACTTCTGTCCTCCAAAAAGCATTTAAGTTACTGATCCCCACTTCCCCGGCCATGGGGCAGTGGTTTGCAGCCCGACAGCCCCAGCAGCAGCTCTATGGCCTCTCCCACCAGCCGCTGGGATACACCTTGCCCCTCCTTCTCCCAAATTATATGTATGCTTAATTAAGCGCATCCCTGTTTTCACCCGTCCTTGATCACAGTGTTAAAGAGGCGGCAGGGAAGAGCACACACTCATCGTTCCATGTCAAGCCTTTAATATTAAAGCGAGGTACTCACAGCGAGCCTCCCC